CATCCACTTAACGCGTTATGAAAATTAGCCTCCTCTTTGCAGTGTTTAAAGGGGCACTTTCCCAGGGAGGGATGTGGCTACAGACCCTTAAAGGCCCAAATAATTTTCAGACATTGGCTCTTTTTGAAAACAAGCATTTTTAATATACACCGAAGACTCGCCTGCACCGCCATCTCCACCCCCCTCCCCGTGGCCCCTCTTGGGGAGCGGCCCTTTCCTGCCGGGGCGTCTGGGGGGCAGGGACTGGCCGATGAGCACGGAGGGCTCAGCAGCTGAGCTCAGTGTCTGATGGCACATCTGGGCAGCGCGACGACTTCACGCTGGCTGTGGCGTGGGGGCCAACCATCTGACAAGCCAGTAAGGAGGCACCGGGGCTCTGCCCGCGGCCCGGCTCCGGCCCCTGGAGACGGGTCCCTGGCGCGGCCACTGCCCTCACTCGGGCCCTCCTTCGCGCTTGGGCATCTCTCATCCACCCCGCGTGAGCCGCCTCTTCCAGGTTCCCGCTGTGGCTCCGCTTTAGCTCTGCCCCACCTCCCTGGTTACCCAACCTGCAAATGGCTCCCCGTTGCTTTGCAAACTAAGAACCTATTCTCTAGCTCTCCCCGCAGGGCTCCCAACTGCTCCCCTCCCCAGCAGCAGGTCCCCCTTCCCCTCACGGCCCAGTGCGAGTGATGGGCATCCATACAGACCGTCACCAGGAGTGCCGTCCCCGGGCACGCGCCCCACACCACTCTCGGAGGGCAGGCAGGTCCCCTCACCCCAGTGAGATGCACGAAGGCAGGGGGGCAGCCCGCAAGCCCCCCATGGGGCAGGCAGCTATCCCTGCCACGCGTGTCTTTTCCCGAAGGACCTCATCCCGGGATCTGAGGGTCCCCTGACTGAGAGAGGGGGTCCAAGACCCTTCCCCTTGAGCCCTGATGGGAGGTGAGCTGCCGTCCACAGGGCAGAGAGGGGCAGTGCTCGAGTTCCCAGGGCAGGCTCTGCAGCCCTCTCCCTCTCTCCCCCCTCCCCCCACACCCCTCTCCCTCCCCTGTGCCCCCTCCCACCTGCCCTCCCCCCACTCCCCTCTCCCTTCTCTGAACCTCTCACCCCCCTTCTTCCTCTCTCCCCCTCTCTCCACCCCACATCCCTCTCCCTCCCCTGCATCCCTCTCTCTCCTTCTCCCCTCTATCCCTCCCTCCCCCCTCCCACACCCCTCTCCCTCTCCCCCACACCCCTTCCCTCCTTCTGGCCCTTCCCCTTCCCCCCACCGTTCTCCTTCCCCTATACCCCTCCCTCCTTCTCCCCTCTCCCCCTAACTCCCCCTTCCCACACCCCTCTCCCTCCCTCTCCTCCCCCACACTGCACCCCTCTCCCTCACCCCCAACCCTTCCACATTGGTTCTGGGAACCCAAGTGGTGTGGACGCCAGGTCACACGGAGGGGACCCATGTAGGGCTCCTGGGACTGGCACCAGCCTCAGCCCTGGATAAATGAGCCACTGGGCTTCAGATGCGTCCCTTCAAGTCTTTCAAGTGTCCCCGCCAGGCCCCAAGGTCATAAGGCATCTCCAGCCCACAGACCCAGTGAGCGTACTGACAAAGGGTTGCTGTACATCACTACGTTGGGGGAAGTGTGTGACGCAGCTGTAGTAACAGGACAAGGGATATACGGCTGCCAGGTTCCTACACAGCGATTTACAAACTAGGGTTACACGGACCAGCACGGACCTCAAACTTATACTTTCAGGAGGGAAAATACACACAGGCACGGGGTGGGGACAGCATGAGGGTGAGCTAAGGCCAAATAGGATTGGGGTTAGAGAGGGCAGAAGCAAAACTGAGAGAAATGTGAATTTAAAAGTGGACATTCCTGGGGCGCCGGGGTGGCTCAGTCGTTTGGGCATTGGGCTTGGGCTCAAGTCGTGATCTCGCAGTTCCTGAGTCTGACCCTGCTTCGGGCTCTGTGCTGACAGCTCGGAGCCTGGCGCCTGCTTCGGATTCTGGGTCTCCCTCTCTCTCTCTGCCCCTCCTCTACTCTCATTCTGTCTCTCTCTCTCAAATATAAATAAACATTAAAAAAATTTTTTTACAGTGGACATTCCCTAAAATGATTCCAAAAAAACCCCCAGCTTATCAAGACCAAACAAAACAGACGGAGGCTTGCTGCAGTTTGCCGATGGAAGCTTCTGGGATTATTCCCACGACCACATCTCGGCCTTGCAGGGCACCTTTGGCTACCAGCTCTGAGCTGGGTGCCCGGGACGCAGGTGCCAGGGCACAGGCCCCGCTCACTGTCCGCTGAGAAGACCTCTAGGGCCTTTCGCTGGGATTCCCCCGACATCCCACTGAACAGGGGAGGGGCCGCTCGGAGGGGGTAAGGAAGGACGACGAGAACGGACAGAGAAGGAATGCGGGGGTGGCTGCGGGGGTGCCTCACAGAGATGGAGACTCACACAGGCTCTACTTTCCTGCACCAGGAGTCTCTCCACCCAGTGCCCACAGGTGACCGGAAACGTGAGCTCTGGCCCTCTGAGCACTAGGACCTGGGCTCCGGGCCGCGAAGGCCGCGCGTGTCCACTCAGTGCCCGGACGGAGGGCCGGAGACTGTCCCGGGCTTGAGACCCACCAGCCCCCAGAGCTGCCCGCAGGTCTGGACGCGCAAAGCCTCGGTGGGGTGATCCCGGGTCCCCACCTCTGCGGACAGTCCTGTCTCAGAACCGGCCTCTCCTCCCGCCTCGACCCAGGCTGTCCTCTGGCTCCGGAGCAGCTCTGTGCACAGAGGCGGGAGGCCTGGGCCAGCATGCTCGGCGACCTCTCCCCTCCGGAACCGACCCGCGGCCCAGCGGCGACCCTCTGCCGGCTCTACACTGCCCGCGCCCTGGGGCTCCGCCGGCACAGTCGTCGTGAACGTCTTGGGCCAGCAGCACAGGGACCCAGCGGCGGCGCTGCCCGGTGCCCTCAGGGGGGAAGCGCCCCCTGCACTCCCCACAAGGCCGGTGCGGGGGACACGGGCGAGGAGGCTCCTCTGCTCTTGATCCTCGGTCCAGACCCGGCGCGGCAGTCAGTGAGGCCGCCCTGGCCTGGGCGCACCCAGCCTCCCTCCCCACAGCCTGCCGCCACAGGGTGCTAAGTCCCAGAGCCTCACAAGAGAAGAAAGAGGCTGCGAGGTGAGGCGCCCCCGCCCCGGGCCACGCGCCTGGAGAGCAGAGAGAACAAAAGTCCAGATTCCGGAGAAAGTCCCCAGGGCAGTGGCAGCACTGGCCCCTCAGGCTGGAGGTTCAAGAAATGCGCTGAAGGTGGGCCCAGGACAACCTCTAACGTAGGGGGTTAGAAGGCCCCTTGGTCCCCGGAGCCATTGTCTTTTTATCCAGGTACCTCTCTGGCCTCAGTTTCCCTGACTCTCAGGAGGGCGCTCTGATTTGGTGATGTGGTTAGCCCCGGCTGGCACTGATCTTCCCAAAGGACTGAGCTTACCAGTTCTTTCCTTGGCTCAGCCCCTTGGGTCTCGGATGCGCAGCGTCTAGCCTCCGCGGCTGCCGGCCGGCAGAATCCCGCCGGCTCCGAGGCCTCGCCACTCTGCTCCCCCATCCGACTCTGGGCCCAGAATACCGGAATTCGGGCCTGCCAGAGCCACTTACCCTACGATGTACTCTCTCCTCGCCTCGCCTCTGTTTTCCCCTCTGGAAAATGGGGTTGACGCTCCCGGCCGCTGTGGCTGAGCTGAAACGCGGAGAGCCGGGCGGCGCGGCTGGACAGGGGCCCCAGCTGGCACTGGGAGGCAGGACGTATCTCTCCGAGATAACCCGCGTCCGGGGAAGCCAGCCCCACCCGCGCGACCGCGCTGTGACCCGGTGACTCGGCCGTCACCTGCGGACACGGCTCCGGGGGCGGCGGCGTGGGCCAGGAGGCGCTTTTCTGCCACCGCGCTCCCGGCTGCAGCGATGGGAGGAGACTCCCCACGGGTTCGGAGTCCAGGAACGGAGGCTCAGGGAGGCTGGGGCCTGCCCCGCAGACCGGGGCGACCAGGGGCAGGGGCTCCCGCCGCCCCCCGCCCGCGGCCCGAGCCTCCCGGGAGGGGGCCCCCGGCGCGCGGCGGACCGGGCCGCAGGCGGGGGTGCGGCGAGCACCTCCCTCGGCTCCGAGGCCGGGCCGTGAACGCACTCCCCTCGGCACCGAAGCACACTTTATTACGTGGAAGCACTGAACTCGGCCACAGCCTTGCAGCCCCGACACCGGGCTCTTACAAAACGGCCGAGGCCCAGCGTCTTGCGGTGTCTCGCAAGTCGCGGGGTCTTCACGCCCCGCTCGCGCGCTCACACACGTGCACACACGCACATACCACACTCGCGAGCGCGCGCGCGGCTACTCGCGCCCGGTCCGGCGCTCGCCCCGCCGCGAGGCAATTGCGGCCCTGGCCGGGCGCTGATTGGCCAGCCCGGCTCTCTTCGGGGCCCCGCCGCCAATGGGCGGCCGCCGGCCGAGGCCACGCCCCCTCCTCCCTCCCCCGGCGCCGGGCGGCGCGGGCGCGGGCGCGGGGAGCGGATCACGCGGGGCTCGCCCGGCCGCGACCCCGGGCCGGGGCCCCCGCCGCTCCCGCCTCGGCCGCGCGGCCTCCTGCGCGCCCGGTCCCCACCCCCCACGCCGGCGGCGTCTCCGCGCCACGGTCGCGCTCGGGGCCCCCCGGCGGCGTCCCCGGGCCGCGCCTCCGCCCCGCCCCCGCTGGCCCCTCCCCGCCCCTCCCCGCCCCCAGCGGGGCCGGCCCGGGCGGCGACCAGAGCGGCGACGTGAAAGGCGAGCGAGGCGGCTGCCCGGCCGGCTGTCGGCGCGCACCCGCTCCCGGCCCAGCCCAGCCCCGCGCCGAGGCCGCCGCCCGCCCGGCGGGGCCCGACGCCAGCGCGCCCGGCGGCGGCTGCACGGCCCGGCCCGCGCGTGCGCCGGGGAGCCGCGCGCGCCTGTGTCCCCCGCGCGGCCCGGGACCCCGAGGAGCCCGGCGGAGCCCGACGCCGGGCCCGCGGCAGCGATGCCGGACGAGCTGACGGAGCCCGGGCGCGCCACGCCGGCCCGCGCCTCCTCCTTCCTCATCGAGAACCTGCTGGCGGCCGAGGCCAAGGGCGCCCGGCGCGCGGCCCAGGGTGCGGGCGGCCGCGAGGACGAGGACGACGACGACGGCGACCCGGAGGACGCGGACGCGGAGCAGGCGCGGCGGCGGCGGCTGCAGCGGCGGCGGCAGCTGCGCGCGGGCGCGGGGCCCGGCGGGGAGGCGCGGGCGCGGGCGCTGCTCGGGCCGGGCGCGCTGGGCCTCGGGCCGCGGCCGCCCCCCGGGCCCGGGCCGCCCTTCGCGCTGGGCTGCGGCGGCGCGACGCGCTGGTACCCGCGGGCGCACGGCGGCTACGGAGGCGGCCTCAGTCCCGACAGTGAGTGAGGGCGCCGGAGGGGTGGGGGGCCGGGCGGTGTGCTCGGGGACTTGGGGTTCGTTGGAGGCCTTTCTGGGCCACCCTCCTCGTGTGCCGCGGGGTCGGGGTCCTGGGGAGCCCCGGTTGGGCGGGCCTGGGGGCCCACTCCCTGGGACAGGGTCCCCATGCGGGAAGGAGGCTCTGCGGGTCCCAGGGAGGCTGGTGAGCCTGCGGAGAGGAGTCTGGGGCCCGGGGACGCCAGGCGCTGGAAGAACGATGGAGAACGAGGCAGAAAGCAAGCCGAGAGAGGGCGGGTGAAGAGGGAAGGATGGAGGAAGAAGGAGGGGGGCGTGGGGAGAGGGGAGACGGGAAAAGAGAACCCCCCCGGTGACGGCGAGAAGGCCGGGGCGGGTCGCGGCGGCGAAAAAAAGAAAACAAAGTAGAGCCGGACAGGAACCGTGAAGGGGGCTGGATCGAGGGAGCCGCTGACTGGAGGCGGGGGTGCTGGATAGCTGGGCGCGGAACATCTCTGTGCCCCCGCAGTCCCATCTCCCTGGGGAGCCCCGCAGACGGGGCCTGGGCCCTCCCAGGCACCGTGGCCGCAGCTGTGCCAGGCAAGAGGGAGCCCCTTCTGAAGCCCCCAGGCCCACCCCTCTCTCTTCCTCCCCCCCCCCCCCCCCCGCCTTTGTTCCCTGCTAAGGGCTCAGAGGCTGGGTGTAGGGGTTCTCCGCCCGAGGTGCTCACCCCCCCTGCCCTGAGCCTGCTCCTTCTCCCCGGGGTCGCCGCCCCCTTGGGGACCTGCCCTTTGGAGGAAGGCCCCTGGGAGGAACACTAGGAAGTCATTCCAATTCCAGTTCTGGTCCCCAGGCTTGGCCAGCACCCCCTCTCCCCCCGCGCACATATATGCACACTGTAAAGCCCGCTGTGGACTCTTCCAGGCTCTTGCTCGGAAATCCATTAGTGTGTGCTGGGGGGCTAGGTGGGCCAGATCCCTCTCACCTCCTGGATAACCCCCCTCTCTGGAGTGGGGGAGACCCTTTCGCAAAGGGACCCTGCTCCCCGAGCCCATCCCCAGGAAGTGTGTCGCTCACACTGGCTCAGGTCTCAGTGGTTTCCCTGAAATCAAGTGACCAAATATAGCGTCCTTCCACGAGTGTTTCCGAGAAGGTGTGGCGGGGTGAGACATGTCCCCCACCTTGCCCCAGAGTTTCACCTCCCCCTACAGCCCCGGGGCGGGGGTGGGCAGCTCCGGGGGACGTGGCTCCTTATTTCGTGCGATGCGGGTTAGGGTCCGGTTTCCCACCTGGGCTGGCAGGCCTGGCTGCGTGTCTTGGGGTAGCACATGAGCCTCTGTGAGTCTGGGGGCTTGGGGCGTCAGGGGGAGGCAGAGGCCAGCCTGGAACCTGACTCCTTGTCAGCACCCAGAAAGCTCACAGCGCGGGGAGGGGGGGGTCTGGCAGGGACGCACACGGACCTGCACACCTCTGTGAGCACAGGGGTACAGCCGAGCCACACACACAAGCCTGCCGGTGTTTGCACGCCTCGCGAACGCTCGCACTGCCGCCACACCACTGTCTTCCCAGGGCTGGCGGGGGCCGCACGCCCCTTACACTGCCCCCCTGCCAGCCTTCGCGCAGGAGGCTCTGGCCCAGGCGACGGGCTAAGTGGCCTGGGCTGGCCCGGACCCTGCAGGCTGGCCCCTGCCGATTTCCAGCCGGCCTGGCTTCTTCTTCTTTTTTTTTTTAAATGTTTTTTATTTATTTCTAGGAGAGAGAGAGAGACAGCGTGAGCAGGGGAGGGTCAGAGACAGAGGGAGTCACAGACTGAAACAGGCTCCAGGCTCTGAGCTGGCAGTCAGCACAGAGCCCGACGCGGGGCTCGAACCCACAAACCGCGAGATCATGACCTGAGCGAAAGTCGGACGCTTAACCGACTAAGCCACCCAGGCGCCCCAGCCGGCCTGGCTTCTGGACAAGCCCTTGGGCCCCGGGCACCACCCCTTGCCAGCCCCGGGGGGCACCTCCTTGTGGGACATGGGGTGGAGCTCGGAATGTGGAGCCTGAGCTCAGGGACCCCTGTGGCCTTCTGTAACCCCGAGCCCCCAGGCTTGACCACGCACGGTGTTTGGGGTGCGGGTGCAGCTGCTGTGTTTTGGCGGAGCCCTAACTGTGGGCGCTCCCTTTGAGCACAACTCGGGGGAGAGCGGACATGTATGTCTCTGCGGGCTTTTGGGTGAGGGGTACAGGAAGTAGGGAGTGAGCCTCCGCCAGTGTCACCTGGAGTCTGGGGGGCTGTTTGCATTTGTTTCTTCTCGTCTTGGGGTATTTCTGTGCAAGCGGGAATTCTGCACTGGCTTCTGAGTGAACGGGGTGGGGTCACTCCAAGTCTTTATTTCTGAGTCTGGGGGCTTGGTGTCGCCTGGGTGCTGGGGAGTGTGGGCCCGGGTGCTGTGTTCCCGGCATCCACCCTCGGAAGGGTGTCTTTCCTCCAGCCCTGTTGTGCCTGCGAGTCTTTTCCTTGCTTCAGCGGAAGGAGCCAGTGGTTTCGGGAATCACTGCTGTGTTTCTGTTTGCATTTTTGTGTCCCCCCCCCGCCCCCCGTCTTCCTCTGTCCTGCTGCACTGTGGGTGCCGTCGTGAGTGAGAGCGAGCTGCCCACTGCCCAGCCTGCTGGCCTGGAGTCTTGCTCTGGTCTTCGAGCTCACCTCCTCCCGCCCTGCCTTTCTCCATCCCTGGGTGAGATCGCGGCAGCGGTGCGGGGTGCAGGGCCCCGCGCAGGGACTACGTCCGTGCGTGCAGCTCTGGGGCAGCTCTTGGGGGCAGGGGGAGCAGCTGGCCGCAGAGACGGGGTCTGGGGATCAGCCCCGGAACCAACCGTGTGCCCCTCTCTCCCCTGCAGCCAGCGACCGGGACTCACCGGAGACGGGCGAGGAGATGGGCCGCGCGGAGGGCGCCTGGCAGCGGGGCCCCGGGCCGGGAGCGGCGCAGCGAGAGGCGGCGGAGCTGGCGGCGCGCGGCCCGGCGGCCGGCGCGGAGGAAGCGGCGGAGCTGGCGGAGGCCCCGGCGGCGGCGGGCGAGGCGCGCGGCGGCGTGGGCGGCGGCCGCAAGAAGAAGACGCGCACCGTCTTCTCGCGCAGCCAGGTCTTCCAGCTCGAGTCCACCTTCGACCTGAAGCGCTACCTGAGCAGCGCGGAGCGCGCCGGCCTGGCCGCCTCCCTGCAGCTCACCGAGACGCAGGTGAAGATCTGGTTCCAGAACCGCCGCAACAAGTGGAAGCGGCAGCTGGCGGCCGAGCTGGAGGCGGCCAGCCTGTCCCCGCCGGGCGCGCAGCGCCTGGTCCGCGTGCCGGTGCTGTACCACGAAAGCCCCCCGGCCGCGGCCGCCCCCGGGCCCCCCGCCGCCCCGCTGCCCTTCCCGCTGGCGCCCGCCGCGCCCGCGCCGCCCCCACCGCTGCTCGGCTTCTCCGGGGCCCTCGCCTACCCGCTGGCCGCCTTCCCGGCGGCGGCGTCCGTGCCCTTCCTGCGGGCGCAGATGCCCGGCCTGGTGTGAGCCCCACCCGCGGCGGCCGGAGAGCTCTGGGGCGCACCGGCAAAGCGTGGGGGAGACCCGGGGCGCCCCGAGGGCCCCTCTGCGCCTCATGGCAGGCCGCCGCCGCGGCCCGAGTCCTGTCCCAAGCTCGTCCAGAATGTAACAGGGATGCCTTCCGCCGTGGCTTCTAAACAGGCCAGAGGCCTGGCAAGGAAGAGGGTGTCCTGAGAGGCAGCGCCCCAGCAGGCAGCCCGGAGCCCCCACCGGACAGGCCGCGCAGCAGCCGCGCCCCTGCCGCCAGAGCCGACCCGGGCCACAGCCGCGGCAGAGGGCTGTCAAGGTGCTTGGAGGTGACCGCTCCCATCATGCCCCCCCACAAGCGTCCTTCCCCGGACTGCGCTGGACCCCGGGCAGCAGGCCTCCGGAGGACTGTGACAGCCTCGTGGCCTTGACAGTGGGCCCAGCAGAGGGGAGCCCCCGGGAGAGCCGCCTGCCAGGCCGCCCTTCTGTCCGGCTGTTTGCTCCGCGCCGGCCCAACGGGGCTTCTCTCCTGGGCTGCGCCTCCAGTTCTTCTGGCAAAGACTTTTTTAAAAATGAATCTACTTATTTGCATAATGGAATAAAAGGGACATTTTCTGGACGCTTTCTGCCGCTCTGTGGTCACTGGGGCGGGGCCCTCCCAGCGGCAGCGGGCTCCGGGGGTGTTCCTGGAGCTCTTTCCAATGCGGGATCGGGACTCGAGGTCTGGGGACTACCCCCAGCCCCCGATGGGACATCAGGGGACAGCATGGCGGGGAGGCAGAGGGGACTGTGTCCCACAGTGCTGGGGCCTCCACAGAACCCGAAGGCACGTCAGGTGTGGTAGCACCCATGGGTGCTCCCCTTGGGCACAAGTGGCCACCAGCCGTGTGGCTCCCACGTCCATCGCCATCTCTAACTGTGCCCTCTCCTCTCCGGGCCCAAACGAAACACTGACGGTCCCAGTAAGGTCAGGTGGCAACGCGGCTCTTCAGCCCTGCCCCTCCCCCGGGCGTCAGGGTCTCTGGCAAGCTGGGGGGCGAGCCGATGGGCTCTGAACAAAAGCTTATTCCAACAGCCCGCATTAGGGTGGCCGTCCTGCCTCCATCAGCCCCCCGAGACCGGATTTTGGGGTGAATACAGGGTCCCCCGCAGGGAGTTTGGGGGAGAGACTTTATTAGGCGAGCTTCTCTATGGGGAGAGAGGTAGTTTGGGACTTGAAAGGGTCACTTCTGTAACAGAATCGGGTCCCCTTGAAACCTGTCTCTGTCCCTCAGCTTCAGGCTCCCGGGTGGAGACACACAGCATCTGGGCCACCCTAGGGGCTCGGTGCTCTCAGCGGTGGCACCAGACGGCCCAGGAGAAGGCGCCATGGGGGTCTTCCCTGGGCTGGAGGTCCATCTGTCTGTCTGCCCTGCCATCCAGCTCCCTGACCTGGAATCACTCTCTGCCCGGCTGCCAGAGCCCCGAGGCGGGTCCCAGAAAGCCGGGCTTCCTGCACCTCTAGGTCCCTGCCTTCGGGCTCACGGGGCCGCAGCATCACGGGGTGCGCGTCTGGGGACACTCTCGGGGTCCCTTCCGCAGCCCAGCCCCCGCCCCCCAGCTGCCACCTCAGGGTCCCTGCAGCCCCTCCTGGGCTGACTCTCCTCTTGCTGGGCGAGGGGGAGCCACCCACCCTGCTTTTCTCCAAACTATAGGCCTCGTTCAACTTTGGGAGGGATTTACAACCCCTTCAATAAAACGAATTTGCTGCTAGTTTATTTTCAAAGGCCGCTTCCCGGTCAGCGGCCACAGAGGGGAGTGGGGTGGCCAGGAAGCCCCTCGCAGCCACTGCAAGGGCAGCGCACTCCATCCCCCTCCCTCCCCCTCTCCCCCTGCAGGCCTCTGTACCCGCCTCAGTCGCCACCTGGGGCCCCAGCCCTCTCTTCTCTGGCTTTTGTGGAGGCGGCCCTCGGCTGCCAGCCTTCCCCGGGGGGCAGGACCTGGAAGCCGCCATCCACGCTCTGCCTCCCCTGAGTGCCCTGGCCCGCGCCCCTCGCTCATTGCACCCTCTCCGCGGCACAGACAGCCAACGTCACGGGGACTTTGGGACCTCACAGGGTACAATCAAAACCCAAGTCAGAGGGGTTATCAGTACGACACAACCGTTTTATTTAAGTGTTTGTGGCTGGTGCAGGGGTGCGTCCCCGAAGGTGCTCGCCACTGGTGTGGGTCCGCACGGGAGCCCCAGTGGCGGGGGCCACAGGTGCGGGAGAAGGGAGAGGAGGTGCCGCACGTCCAGAACCTCCTCTCTGCTCAGCAGGAAGCAAGAGCTTTCACAGGGCGCCCGGCCTCCCGCCGTGTCACAGGGAGGCAGGGTCCGTGGCTGCTGCGGCGGGTTCACAGAGAAGGGCTGTGTCTTTCCCCGAGCAGGGAGAGGCTGAGCTGTCGAGAGGCTTCCTTGCCTGTGGGCTCTTCCTCTGCACGGAGGAAGCCAGGAGGCGGAAAGAGGGGCCATCCGCTGGCTGTGCTGGAAGGGCCGGGAGCCAGGAGCCCTACAGACAGCGGATCCAAGCCTGGGTCAGACCGCCAGGGCTCCGGGAGGCTGGCTCTACCCCATAGCGACCGGCATCCTGGGTGTCTCAGCGGGGACGGCACAAACCAGTGCAAAGCAATGCGTAACACGCAGCCCAGGGAGCCCTAGAGGGCGCGCGGGACCAGGCTGGGGACGCGCCTGGCCCCAAGCTCCAGCAACATCCGTCACCTAGGGGCGTCGGCTCCGCAGAAGACGAATGCCTTCCACCCAGTCATGCCGACCTGCCCTCCCCTTCCCGAACCCACCAGCCTCACCTTCTCCTCCAGCCGAGGCCCGATTCCCGCCCAGGGGGCTGCCCAGGGCTTCGGCGTGCAGAGTCCCTGAGCCCAGGCGGGGCCAGCAGGGGCTGCACACCTGGGCCAGGCCCACTCCCTCAGGGGCCTGAAACAAAGCCCTTCTCTGCTCAGAGGCCTCAGTTTCCTCCTGGCAGACCTGCGTGAGGAGGCGGTCTGTGGCCTGTACACGCTTCGCTTTCTCTGATCCGAGCAAGGCGTCAAGGTACCGCAGGCCATAGGGACGGTCCCCTCCAGCGTCGAGGGCCCACACCGCCGTGGGACTGGGGGATGACCCGCTGTGTCTGCCCCTCGCAGCCCCCCGCCCGGGCACTACATTAGCTACCTGTACACCCGTCCCCTCCGCCCCCAGCAAAACCTATGAAGGGGCATCGGGGAAGGCCACGGGAGGCTCGTGTCCTTCCTTGGGTCAAAGGCAAACGTGGACTTGACATCCAGCCAAGCTCATGTTCCCCGAGAGCCGGACCTGCCTTGCCTCCCCACCTGCCCTGGCACGCCAGGCCCCTGCCCAGAGCCCTGGAGAGGGTGAGAGGGTCCTAGTGGGCTGTTTCCACTGTGAGCGGCAGAGCTCTGGCCTCTGGCCTCCAGCCACCCCGCCCCCAGGGCCTCCCACTGACGTCCCTGTTCGGTCCCTTCTCATCAGGTTAGAGGTAGCCTGTAGCCTCCCCCCCTCCCCCCAAGCCTGGCCACGTGGGAGGTTTCCCAGAGCCCCGCTACCCGGAAGGGGCAGGGAGCTGGCCGGCTGGTCACCAAGAGGGAAACAGCAAGAGCCAGGTCTGTCTCTCGTTTTCCAGTGTCCGTAAGTGTCTCCCTCCCTCGCATCCTTGGTGGCTTTCTGGCCCCATCTAGCAATTCTCAGAAGGGGAAATTAGGTTCCAGGGGGAGCAGGGTCTCTGCCTCAGGGCCTCCATGAAGTCACTCAGCCATGAGGCCCTTCAACTTTCTTGCTTACACCTTGTGCGAAGAGTTCAGCTGCCCATCCCCGGGGCCCCCTCCACCCCGGGCTCCCTGCCCCCGGCTCCTGTGCATACTCAGGCAGCGTCCCCACCTTCCTTCCTACCAGTCCAAAGCGTCAGGATAATCCCCTTGGGCCACTGTGTCCCCCTTCCAGTGGCCAGGCCAGGCCACCCCCAAGCTGCCTGCCTATGGAGAGGGGGTCCCACTGGGAAGTGGGGTCTGGCCTCCTCCAATCCGTCAGCCAGAAGCAGTGCTGGGCTCCGGGATCCAAGCCGGCTCCCCAAAGTGGTTTGCCCCCCGCAGGCGAAGGGGTGAGGGGGACGGACGGCCCTTCCCAGGTGGATCGAAAGAGGTCTGTCAAGTGTGACAGTTCTGAGCTCTGAATCAGGATGACACCATGAGACAAAGCCTCCAAGAAAACAATCAAGAACCTGGACACAGCACATGGCTCCGCCGCCGCCTCACTGTGCGCCCTCGCCAGGCTCTGATGCCACTGGCCTCAGTTCTTGTTGGCTTTTTAAAATTATTATAAAAATTATAGTGCTTTTTACTGCTTATCTGGAAATTGCAGTAAGGTCGACACAGAAGTATGCTGTCTGCATCTCCCTCATCAAAGGTCAAGGGCCTCTGAGTGTGGGGCCAGTTGTGGATTTATTGTTAGGTGATTTATAGCCGCGAGGTTAATTTTCAAAAGTTCTTACCGCTGAAGACTACAGCTTACGTATTTACCAAGGAAATTATGTGATGTCTGCGTTTGCTTACAAATATCGAATAACAAATCAGTGAAACAGGGGAAGCGGAGGAGAGGACAGACAGCACTGGCTTGGTCAGGAGTCCGTAATTGTTAAATGGGGGGTGGGTACCTGGGGGCTCGTTTTAAGGCGTCCTCTACTTTGTTTTATATTTGAAAACTTCCACAAGAAAAGTGCTTTAAAAAGTGACCATCGGGGAAACATCGGAGGGATGTGCTCCCAGCGACGGATTCCCCACGTCCCGGCCCGAGTCCCTGGCGGGCGCGTTTTCACTCCATCGGGGGTCTGGGCTCGGTCCGCCCACACCCTGTGCGCTTTCTGTTTCCCCTGCTCGCTGCGAACCGGCACTTAAAACCCGGCGCGCTCCATCTCTGCGAGTCTGTTTCAGGCCGAGCTTTCCTCTTCCCCCGCGAGGGTCTCCCGGCC